GGATGAATATTTGTTTGCTGACTTGGAATGCACAAAGTGAAAAAATGCAAAGTTTGTCAACATGCTGCAAAACAAACAGGATGGCCTAACCACAAGTCCAAATCAGACTACAAAGCCCAAACTAAAAGTCCAAATTCAAACTTTCTGCCAAAGTACAAAATACTGTCACAAGGCTACCAAAGCTGTCAGAAGGAAGATTTGGAAAGATATCAAAAGATACAAAAGTACAAGAAGCTGTCAAAAGAAGAGATAAAAAATGCAGAGAAAGCATGTTATGCAAGCAACATAATTCTTTTCATCATTTCCCAAAAGTTGCCCTTTCAGAAAAGTACAAAGCATAACATATTTTAATGTTTTTGTACTGGAGAGAGAAGAAAAAGAGAAGAAGAAATAGGGCTTACAGGTTTAGGCTTGAGAGATAGAGAAATATAAAACAAACTGAACACAGTACAGTAAGGAGGAGGCAGCAAAACAACCATAACAAATATATCAAGCATAAAAACTTGAACTCCTGTCAAGCCTTAACAACCAGATAACCTGCAAGCAAGGCCAAGCCTTAAACTCAAAGCCTTGGTTCAAAAACCTGTAAGGACCTCCAGCCAAACCAGTAAACTCCCCTAAGCACAAACCTGCCTATCAATAAAACCACAAACTGTCAAATGGCCTAAAAAAGCCCAAGCTTTGAAGCAAGGCTGAACCAAAAGGCCAAACCTGCTGAACCTGTCAAACAATATAGAACAAACATCCAAAGCCTTGAACCTGTAACACCAATCTGAGCCTAAAGATTCAAAAACCTGCAATGGCCTAAAAACCCAAAACCAGTAAACTCACCCAAGCTCATAACCAGCCTAAAGATTCAAAAACCTGCAATGGCCTAAAAACCCAAAACCAGTAAACTCACTCAAGCTCATAACCAGCCTAAAGATACAAAACCTGCATATGCCAAAACCTGCCTGAAGCAAATCCAAGAAAGCCCCAGAACCTGTCAAAAAGCCTTCCAGTCCTCAAACCAACTTAAAACCACAAAACCTGTACCAGATACCAGCCTAACCATCAGGCCAAAACCTGTAATAGTCAAAACCTGTGGCCTGTAACAAGGCCTTACCTGCTTCAAACTCAAGGCAACCAAAAGCAAAAGCCATAAACCAAGCATACTCAGGCAACTCAGTGTCAAACACGCCCTCAGAAAATATCATCACTGGGCTAGCTAGCAACATCAACACAATAGCATTCAATTCAAAGCCATAAGAGGAAAGCTAGTCAAAACAAAGTGTCTCAACAATAGCACATATCAGAAGCTACAGATAGCAAAGCATCAAGGCAAACATTCCAAAAGGCAACTAAGAGACGAGATAAAGAAGCATTTCAAGGCGTACTCAGAATATTCAAAGCATTCAAGGCCAACTCTAAGCCCTCAGAAGGTTCATCACTGGGCGTAAAAAATCAACATTCAGAAGCATACGAAACACAAGGCAGCTCAAAGCAAGGCAAAGGGAGAAGAGAAAAAGAAGCGTATCAATACAAGGGCCCTCAGAAGGTTCATCACAGGGGAGTAAAAAAAGCAAAGCATACAAAGGCATCATACAACAGTCAAGCAAGACATCAAGCTAAGCATACCAAGGCTATCAAGAAGAAGAGGCAACCAAGAGAAGAGGAAAAGAAATTGCACAAAAGGCTCAGTTCATCATCATCACCAAATAAAAGGGCAACAAAAAGAGAGACAAAGAGTACCAGGGTTACCAAAAGGCAAGCTAGTTCATCACAGCACCGCGTTCTCCGCCCAAGCCTCCTACGCGCCTCCCCATCTCCTCCATCGTCTTCCTCAAACAAAAGGTAGTATATTTTCTTTCATCCCTCTTCACGACCTCATTAAATGAACATAACATCAGAATAATAATCATAACATGTAAAAAGGAATGAAACCCTAAACGCGTTTAAAAAAGACAAGAGGATTACCTTTTAAATTTTGCTTCACTGAACCAAGGAAGAAAGAAGGCGAAGGAGGCACTGATGGCTTAGGCGAAGGGGATGATGTTCAAACAGCCATGGCCAAAGGAACGAAGATGAACGAAAGACGAACGAAACCCCAGACGGCGCTGTAAACCCTAGCATTTTCCAATTGCAAACAATTCTCACAACCCTAAAAACATTTGTCAAACTTGATGGGCCTTGCCCTTTCTCCAGCGCCTAAGCCCAATCACAAACCCGGACACACCCCCCTCATGCCAATTCTGTTTTGGGCCATAACACTCCCCCAAGCCCATTTTATTCTTCTCTTCATTTCATTTTTTTTTTTTTACAAACTAAAATTTTGTTTTAACTTAACTCTTTTTTGAAATAATACACTAGCTTTGTATAAAATATACTAACATAATTAAATAATATACAAAACATGACAATAATACAATAATACATTAATACAAAAATACAATGTAATTAAAATGTAAAACCTTTTTTTTTTAAGTAAAATTCTTTTTTGTACATAAATTCTTTTTAAGTTAGTACCTTTTCTTTTCTTAGAAATTTTTATACATAATCAAGACAAAATACATTTTTAATATACATAATCCAATTAAAATTAAAACATTTTTCTTTTCTTTTAGTAAATATACTTTTGTACATATCAAAGAAAATACAAGATTACGAAAATTAAATAAAGAAAATATTTGATTCCTTTCTTTAAGTTAACAATACTTAATAATATACTTTAAATTCACATTTTCGCACCTGTAAATAATTACATACACATATACACGTACACTTACACGATATACTTACATTTGATACATTATACATTTGCTTATTTTGTATATTCGTTACATTTACATTTGATCGCAAATTCGATTTGGTTGTAACTTATTGGACACTACATTCCTAAAGTCTCATCCCCATTTGTGAATTTGTACCCCCACTCCCGGACACTATTTGTAATAGCGTAGACTTTAAATTCTTGCAATTTACCGCTTTCAATTATACCATGGTTAGACCTAGGGTTTGCATGTACATAAAATCAAACGCTAGATAACCTAATACAAGACAAATACATGAAATCAATACACAATCACACTTGCACCCTCTAGGGTAATCCCACATGTTGCCTTCCAAAATGGGCCATGCTTGCACGTCGAGTTTCTTTGGCTAAACAAATTCAAATGATCATAAGTCCCTCGATGACGCTTTCGAAAGTTGCCTAAATGGAATGATCATAGTCCCTTCAAAGCAAATTGCCAAAGACACTTGGCACCATTGCATTCATGGTCCATACGATGACCCGCGTCCGTCCCGTTAAACATCCTAAACGCAAGATTGTCCACCAAATTCAATGGTGGAACAAAATTGTTAAAAAGGGTTGAAAACATAGAGAAAACCTTTGAGTACAATAGGGGTAGACAAAACTCTTAGTTACTTGAGATCAACTTGCAAAAACACTTGCCTTCTTTTCAAAAACCACACTTCATACACGCTTTCAAAACAAACTCTCAAAAATATTTGAAACATCTTTTCGAAAAGATACACACTTTTGTAAAACACTCAAACACGAGTCGAATACATTGGTTGCCTAAGAAAAGGCATCTCTTCAAAAACATTTTTCAAAACACACACACACACCATAATTTCAAGCAATCGAAAATCAAGGCAAGTGATCTAAAAACCAAGTAACTAAGAGCCCATGGATAACCATGGATGAAAAGGGTGCTAATACCTTCCCTTTTCATAATCTACCCCCCGAACCCACGAAATATCTCGAAAGGTTTTTGCTGTGCTTTTTTAACCTTTCCTTTAGGATAAAATAAAAAGTCGGTGGCGACTCTTGCTCAACCGAACAAGTGCGAATACAAACGCAAAACCATAGTCAGTTCTCTCACCGTATCACAGAGGTATTGCAAAAAGAGGTGGTTCGGGTCGCATTATAAGTTACCATTGTAAACAGTTGTATAAGTAAACATTGGTTGAATCGACTAACAAAAATGATTGTAGCGGCGTAAGAAAGGAAATAAAAGAAATCAAATGTGGAATTTCGTGAGAATCAAGAGATGATTTTCATATAAGACGTCATTAATCCGATGTGGAACACGAAATTGGTAGTGAGTTGGTGAAGTTCACTGTGGATGGTCTCTAGTATGATGATAAAAGTCTATGATAGATGGAGAGGGGGTGTACCTACAAAGTTAATATTTTAACACCTAAGCTAGCGAAATCTAAAAGAATGCAAAATAAATCTTATCTTAGTATGGCATGGAGCCACACTTATATATAAACGACGGTTAGAACTTAGAACCATCTTTGATGAATGCACTACCTTGTACATATGATTATTTGATAGATTTCAATGGTTGAGATGAATGCTAAGTATGACTTTGATACGCGGCTCTTTAGTGAGCATACATCTGTTTGTCAATCTTATCAATCAAAACTTTATATTCAACCTTCGTATTGAACTGTATAACCAATCTAAAAGAAAGTACATAAGTAAAAAGATATTTCCTCCGTCTCACAATAGGTGTTTTCTTTCTTATTTTTATTTGTCTCAAATTATTTGTGAATATTAATGTGATATTTATTATTTCTTTCCATTAAATTACTCTTATTTATTGTATTTTAAATCATATAACTATTCCACTACCTATTATTAATGAGATTATTTTAATAAATAACACTCGTTTTATTATTGAAATCAACACAATTAATCATTATATTAAAAAGTATGAAAATCGAATGAATGACAATTATTTTTAAATTGAAAAAAAGGAGAATGTTCATTTTAAAAATGGAAGTACCATTTCACACCATCCAAACTTTATCTTTTCACTATTTTTCTAGCTGGGGTGCATGCACTCTATTGAGTATCGACAGCAAAGCTTCTTTGGTTGTCAAAATTGTCTCCACTTCCCATTGAATATTTAATTTAGTCCACACTATAAACCCACACACACAAAGACAATAAATTTTCTTCTTACAAACACACTCAATCTCCTTCCTCATAGACCAACTTGAACAACATGCGACCACAACTCAACCTCCTAGTTACCTTAATCACCCTGCTACACTCATGGAACTACTTCCCTGTCACACAAGCCGACCCTCAAACACGTTTAATCAACAAAGGTTGTAGCCAATACAACGCAACAAGCTTGTCCAATTTCAACCAAAATCTAAACGCAACTTTATCAGACTTGAAATCACAGGTGGGAAATGAAAACAAGCATTTTGCGACGGCACAATCCGCCAAAGGAGCAAATCCTGTTTATGCTTTGTTTCAGTGCAGGAATTACCTCTCTAATTCTGATTGCGCCGCTTGCTTCACCGTCGCCGCCGCACAAATCCGTAATTGCTCCGCTGGTTCCAACGGTGCTCGTGTTATTTATGATGGTTGCTTCCTTAGGTACACCTCCACCTAATCTTTCTTTAATTGTATAATTATTATAACTATTTTTTTATGATAAGGTTGGCTTCTCGAGTTATGGTGTTTTCACATTCACATACAAGTCACGAATTTGATATTGATTAGTTAATTATATATTTTTTTTAAAGGAGAGAAAACTAATTACAAAATGTTTGAGGGGATTAGACCAAAAAACATCAACAATTAACAAATTATAATCTATGTATATTAAAGTACTAGCCTATTTAGATTAAAGTTCATAGTTACATCACTATGTATAACATCCCAAATATAATTTTTTAGGTAGAGGTTTTATATAGACGTCATATGGACTTCTCTATGTATTCGTTTATCATTTGTGGGCCATTGATGGAAATAAAGATTGAAGGAGACATTAAAATGCAGCTAACCCAACAAAATTGAGGTTTAAATAAAAATAAAAAACTTTAGAACTTAAGAATGAAGTCCCAATTCAAAGTGTCAAAAGATTTTGACATGTCAACTTTCATGGCAATGTTATCATCATAGGATTTCGGAGATGTATTTACAAACGTATCTTGTGTTTCATTCAAAAACGTTAGAATTGAGTCACACTCAAGATTGATGGTGTGTTTGAATATATATCTCTAAAATTATAGAGTATTTTAAGTTTTTAATGACGGTGTGATAGAAATTATTGAGGTGTCTTAAATAATTCTCTTAATAATATATCAGTAAATTTGAAAGAAAGAGGACCAAAATAATCTCAACCTATAATAATGTTAATCTTTAAGCTGATCAGCATGGATCGCTAGATTGAAGACATCATATTTAACATGTTGTTAGTTGATCGTACCTGATCAGAATGGACCGTCACAGCTTATTCCGAGCAGAATTTGAGAGTGATGTGGAGGGTACCTGCAAGACACTCCGATAATAAAGTAAGTTCCAGAATGAGCAGGCAAGCAAGTGAGTCAGAAGTGTTCAATATCCGACCCTCTCGTAAGAGAGAGTATTTATAGCCTCTAGCGCTGGGCCAAGGTCTCCTCATTGGGCTGGTCAAGCAGATCCAACATGGAGACTGCCAGGTCCTACGTGAGTAGTGGGGACTCGCACGTGATCCCTTACCTGGATGACTTCCTCCGCAAGATCAGGAGGATATGGAAGCAATCTTTCCAGGACCACGAAGACTTCGTGATACTCGGAGGCGTTGATAGTCAACCCTACGAGGAGTATGTTCGTGAGGTGCTTCTGTTCGTCGTGGATACTCCCACTGACCGTAAGGTCGTGTGTTAGGACAATTATTGATTGAGGAGAGGATTGGAGCGTGACCTCGAGGTCTTCCTGACCGGTGGTGATCTTTCTAAAGGCAACATGGTTCATCTCCGTGCGGCGGGTAGTTGTTGTCCGACGCAGTCGAGGGCAGAATTGTTCCTGCATGCTTTAAACGACATAATTAGATTGAACCTTATATAGAGTTGGGCCAAGAGCAAACTCATTCCAAAACATTAGTCAAATCAGAATCTAGATTATAATTATTTTCTTCAACTAAATTATTGTCTTGCAAAATAAAAAAACAATAGTAGAGTTTTAAATCTGTAAAACACTTAGAGGCAATGAGGTCAGACTCTAATAGTAGAGTTTTAAATCTCAAGGGGATGTATCTTTTTGGTTGAATTCTTAATTATTATTAATAACAATTATTAAACATATATTATGATCATTGTTTAATTTTAATTTAGTTATAAGATATCACTATCAATTATTCATAAAAAAAACAAACAAACTACTGCCGGCCTTGCGATACTTATTTGAATATTTTTCTTTGCTTGCTTGAAGCCATCGGTTTGTAGGAGAATGACATGCGGTTAATTTAAAACTTAATTGAAAGTTAAGTAAAAGACAATAATTTCAATAAAAAAGTTAATTTAAATTCTTCTCAATTAATTTTCATTAATTAACGTTAATGTAATTACTTTGTTAACAATGAGTTTTATTGATGATTAGTATGACAATTTTTTTTTATTTACAGAAATTAACAATTTTTACAAGTCAAGTAGTCGCATGATTCTATCATGATTTTATTTTGACAATTTGAGACGTGCAACGTTAATGCTAAGACTTAATTATAGGATGATGAATGAGAAATGGTGACTATTAGTCAACTCCTTCAATAATATTATACGTAACGTAAACATGAATGATATCCGAATGTATTTATTTTCTAATTTAAAAATGAGTTTAAATTAAAAAATATATATAATTATAATAATAAAAAATAACATATCAAAAATATAATTATATATTAATAAAAAAATTAATTATAATTATTTTAATTTTGATTAAAATTATACTTTAATGTATTAGATTTTTATCATAGCGTTTTTTTTATTTATTGAATTTTTTTAAAACATTTTCTTATATTTATCATATTAATGTAAAAAACAATTTACATATTAAAATTTTGAGACCTTCTAAAATTTAGATTCCTGTGTTATAGAGCTGATTGCTCCTGCACAAGGTCGGACCTAATACAGTGTGAATAATAACGAAGTGCAAGTTGTTCATTGAATAACATTGTATATTTCATCTATTATTTTTTTTATTTCTCTTTCTAGTAGAATAATCTATTTATTATAATTAGAAATGATAATAAGCAGAGTTTGAACATGGTATTATAGTGTTCATTTCCATACTCATGTTTTCAAAAAATTCTCGTACCCGGAGTAATACTCGCGTGAGTAGTAACGTTTGTATCCATACCTATACCTATAGATATCTAAGTATCTATATTTTTACTCGTTTAGTCGTACTTTTAATAAAAAAAGATATCAATTATAATTTATCATGTCATTTTTAATTTTTAACAACATTTAAAAAAATTTTAAAAATGATATTGTTGAGTTAAGAAATAAGTGAACATTTATATTAAAATGCGTAAAAATTTAATAGTGATATATTTAATAAAATTAATAAATTAACATGTGTACATAATAATATAAATAAAATATATAAATATATTGTGTGAATATGAAGCAACGTGGATACTAAGACATCCATACTTATGCCCAAACCCGCTTATTATCACGCTCATGCCATGCTTCATGCTCCTAACTATTTTGTGAATTTTTATCCTATTTATTTTGAGTAATTTATGTGGATGTCTATTGAGAGATAAATCTAATTGTTATCTCTAATTATAATTATAAAAAGTAGTGTAATATACTAGTATTAAATTACCCTTAAAACTTTAGTTATTGAAATTATTAAGTAGAAAAAAATTAATAAACATTGCATGAATAGACTAAAAGAATAATTATTTTAAAATAAAAATGCTAATAAAATATTTTTTACCAGAAAGGTAAAATATCTTTTATTATACTACACAATTCTCTTTCTTCTTTTACAAGTCATTTTTATTGGTACAATCAATAGTTTTTATTTTAATATTATTATTTTTCTTTTTGATAGATTTCGTTTATAAATCTTATAATTTTTATCAATATAGAATCAATAACAAAATTTTAAATAAAATCTTTAAATTCATATCCGAATACAATTATGAGATTGAAAGCGGAAGCGTACCTGAATGTGCCATTGAGAATCACCAAAGATTCGCAGATATGTGATCTTCCGATTTGTAGATTTTTTTTTATGAATCCTTTATTCTCCTCTGATGGGGATGAAGAGAGAAATTTGATAAACCGTTTTGTCATTATCTACAAATGGGGATCATAACCCCTATAAATAACCTTAAGATTATTTCTTAGTATTCAATATTCTAATTTGATCTCTCATCAAATTAGATATTGACTTATGGTATCTACATAATAATATTGTCTTTCATCATATTTATGCTTTTAGCCACAAACTTAATATTATATTAATTAGACCTCTTTAAGTCTTGACTAATTAAAATAATGGCACTAACACCCTAAATGTTACATTTGTGACCCAAAATTCTAACAATATCCCACTGGTCACAGATGTAATCATATACATGTGTTAGACTTTATGAACTCAAAATTCGCCATTATATTCCTTAAACATATCCATATTATCTCGTCCATTAATCATGTCACTATTCAGAATCAAAGTGGTTTTCGTTATAGCAACCATGACTAAACCCATCAATAATCACCAATGATGACAACTAAATGACATAAATCTATCATGAAATGTGTAGCATGAAAATCACCTGATTTTGGTATGTATATGTCGATTTTCAACTGGTCCTACTTTACTTTAGTGAGATCATTCAATAACTTTATTGTACAAAATGATAACTACTGAATATCAAACTTTATTAATTTGGAAAATATCCAAAACCGTAGTATGCATACATATTACCAAAATATAGAACATAAAATTCATAATTGACGAACTCCCACTAAACCAAAGACTCCTTTAACGGTAAAACACCCATGCGAGCAGTGTGCTCATGAAAGACCTTAGGTGGAAGAACTTTTGTAAGAGAGTCTGCTATCATGGAGTTTGTCCCCAAGTGTTCTATAGAAATCTGTCTATTTTGTACCCTTTTATTTAACAACTAGGAACTTGATGTCAGTATGTTTTGATTTGGCTGAGCTCCTATTATTGTTACAGGACGACTGGTTTATTGTTACAGTATAACTTAAGTGGTCTTTCAATTCTTTCCATAATTCGCAAGCCAGTGACAGTATTCCTCAGCCAAATCTCATGGTTGGATGCCTCATAATATGCTATAAGCTATGCTGTCATGGTGGATGAAGCCGTAAGAGTTTTCTTGGCACATCGCCAAGAAACTACACCACCATCCAACATGTATATATAGCCCGAAGTGGATCTTTTGCTATCTTGACATACATCAAAATCTGAGTCAGAGTATCCAGTGATCTCTAACTGGTTTGGCCTTCTATATGTGAGCATATAGTCTTTTGTTCTCTTTAAATACCTTATAACCTTTTGGCTACTTTCCAATGATCCGTTCCCGGATTGCTCAAATATCTGCCTAACATCCATTGAGAAATGTCATCTTGACATCTATTTGATGGTTTT